CATAAATAAAAATTTAAATATATATAAATCCAGTCGTTATATCATAGACCGCGGTAAAAAATGGCGCTGTTTCTTTAAGTAAAGAAACGGCCCGCCGGTATAGTTAACGGAGTCCGCTTGTTTGATGTATTAAACACCAACTGACACTACAGTATATCTAAACCGACACTGCAGTTATATCAAAATGATACTGTAGTTATAGTGAAATGAAACTGCAGTGTATATAAAATGAAACTGAATAACATTTCACATATTTGAGCGTATATTGTACAATGAAGCTGTAATTATATCAAAATGATCATGTAGTTGTGTTTTAATGAAACTATAGTGTATATAAAATAAAATTAAATAACATTTTCACATATTTGAGTCTATAAATATCGAATGAAACTATAGTTATATCGAAATGAAACTATAGTTGTATTGAACTGAAACTGTAGTGTATACAAAATGACACTGAATAACAGGGTTACTTTTTGGGAAAGGGTGCGAAACGACGAAAAACAAACACCGTTTCTTTTTATTTAATGAAAGGACGCGCGGTGCATGATTGATCATGCACGGTGGTGCATGATATAATTTGCCATATAAATGTATATATCATATGGGTCTTTAATGTTTTTCTGAATTTCTAAACTTAAGACTTTTAAAAGAAAAAAAAATACATTTGAATTATCTCCACAAAAAGTGGTCTTGGGCTTATAATAGAATGACATTTGGGTTTATGGAATGACATGTGCATAAAGAATATATTATATAATCATATAAAAAATGTGTTCAATTAGAGTTTAAATTTACTCATACAAAATTTGAAATTTGCTTTCTAAATGTAATTATCTTAGTTATTATTCGTATTGTGAAAATTATAATATAGATGAAATACAATTAAGAATAAATCAATGTAGTTATGTAAATTCTCTCTATAAATTTATTTGAATATGTACATAATTAGAGATTATATTAACCATACAAAATTTTAATTGTAATTTTGTATTCTATAAAAATAATAAATACTTGACCAATGGAAGCTCAAAATATTATTATATTAAATAATTTAAAATATTTTTATTTTTTCTATTTTTATTTTTATTTATAATTTATATTTATAATAACATAATTGTTCCCCGTGCATCGCGCGTAGACATGACTGCGATTCCGATTCCGGTTCCGGTTCAGAACCGCCGATTCCGGTTCCGTAAATGGCCAAATCGGAACCGGAACCTTATAGTAAGGTTCCGGTTGGAATCGCCGGTTCTAACCGGATTTATTAAAAAAAAATTAAAAAAAAACTTTAATTTTTTTAATTTTTTCCGGTTCCTTGTCATCTCGAACCTTAACCGGAACCAATATGGTTCCGGTTCCTAACCGGAACCGAAGCCGTACGGACAGTTCGATTTCGGTTTCGATTCAACAGTGCACGGTTCGGTTCGAACCGAACCGTGGTCACCCCTAATCGCGCGGGTGAATTACTAGTTTTTATTAAAAGAATTGTTGTTTATAGATATGATAAGGAATGATGATGAGTCAAATTATAAATACTAAAATATAATCAACTATCAACTAATTGTCAATCTCTCTCCCCCCCCCCCCCCCCCCCCTCCACACCCCATAAAGGGGTTATGGTCCCCAACCGTAGACATACCCAAATATCTCCAATTCTCCATCCTTCGTTTGAAAGATCAATAGTTATATAATAGATCGGGGTCATGTATAAAACATATACATGTTCATAAAGTCACTATTATACTATAGATTCATTGAATAATTACTATAGATTCATAAAATTACTACTATATGTTCATAAAATCATTATTACATGTTCATAAAGTCACTACACTATATGTACATAAAGTTGTTATTGAAAGTTCTTTAATAATTACGGAGTACTTTAGGTTCATAAAATCACTATTGCAAGTTCATTAATTAATTACTATAGGTTGGTCTATAAAAGTTTAAAACTAATAATGGGCATTTTTAAAAGCTTTAGCAATATAAAACTTAATTCGTAAGTTCAATACCATCGTGAGTTTAGGTATGCTTTTGTACTCTAATGTATATTTCGGTTGAAATGAGAACAGGGCTTCTCGTGCGGTTGATGCGGTTTACACCATTAGGTAAATATGTAATTTTCTGCATTCGTATATTGCGACTAGATAATATTTCGGTATGATTTTGTTTGAGTGATTGACTTAGCACTGTCGTAAATCAATGAAACGTCTTGGTGCGGAAATTAAATCAAACAGAAGTAAAAGACACATAATATTGTTTACCCAGTTCGATACAACAGTATCTACGTCTGAGGGACCACCATTATGATTCTGTTTGAGTGATTGACTTAGCACTGTCGTAAATCAGTGAAAAGTCTTAGTGCGGAAATTAAATCAAACAGAAGTAAAAGACACATAATATTGTTTACCCAGTTCGATACAACAGTATCTACGTCTGAGGGACCACCATCAGTGAGTCCAATCCACTATCTCAACAGCAAATCAAACAGACGGTAAGAGAAAACCTTCTCACCCAATGTGTGCTACACACCACACGGTAATACCCAATCTTTTGAAAGCTATAGAGGAATTGTCGAGCTCGGAGATCCGTGCTTTAGAGTCCAGAGTCCCTTTGGAGATCCGTGCTATTGCTGTCCGTCTCGCTGACCCACTCACCACTATTCCCACAATTGTATGGAATACGGTCCACTGATTTAAGCTCTGTAGAAATTCTTCCCAAGAGTCTTGTTAAACTCATATCATCAATGGTGTCTTGAGAAGATGATAACTCAAAGTATTTTCTTTGTAACTCGTGGAAAGATATTTTTTGACATTCAAATCTTGAAAGATATTTCTTGTAAAGCTCCTCTCTATTTTTTTCTCTCTCACCTTTTTCCCATGTAAACAACTAGTATATATAATACTATGAGACTTGGATGACAAGTAATCTTCTAGGGTTTCCTTGTAGACCAAGATTACTTGCCATTTTTCCTTTTTGCCAATTCTGACTTCATCAATAATGGTTTCTAAAACATCAATATTGTAACTACTCTGCTGGTCATAAAGGCGGTGAAATCCAACTGCTAATTTCCAAAACCCGACTGGCGTAGTGACTGTTCCACAATATCATCACTCAGTGGCTGTAACAGACACAACTTGACCTATCTAGTTTTGCCATAATAATTTGCCAATTACAAGTTGGGGTTTACAAAATTTAAACAATAACAAAATACATCACAGTTTACACAATTAGGTAAATCTAATGTATATTTTGGTTGAAATGAGAATAGGGCTTCTCGTGCGGTCGGTGCAGTTTACACAATTAGGTAAATACATCACAGTTTACACAATTAGGTAAATATATCACACAGTTAATGTGGTGCATTTATGCATACCTAAGGGTGTAAACCGCACCAACCGCTTTTATCATCAATCCAATCCTCGTTCACGTTTTTTCTTTTTCTTATCAATGAATAGATCTCTTTACTTGTATGACTTAGATGTCTCGTATTTATAGAAAAAAACGATTTGATTGATAGGAAATAGAAAGAGATTCTTTAACCAATTCGGTTCAGACGTATGATACTTATCTAGAAGTTTTCGCAACTCAATCTCAATCATTAATTAGGGAATCATCAAAGATTTGACCTTTTCGAACTCTGTTCGTAACTCACTAAAGGTCTGGGAAACAAAGAAAAGATGTATAAGAGCGAGATATCCAGCAACAAGAACAAGGAAAAGGATTGAATAGAGGAATTCTCAAACATTTGGTGATCTCAGATGTGTCGATATCAACGACGACTTATTCTTTTTATTTCGATGAATCAATTCTTTGGACAGAAGATTATGCGGGAAGCTCTGTGAGAACATAGGAACCTGACCCCGGCCTCTAATGTATTATTATATTTGCTATTTTTTTTTTAATGGTTTAGTATAAGATTTGACATTAGTGTGATTAATTTTATAAATATATTTTTTAAATAGATGGCGTAGTAAGGTTGTTATTGATTGTCTTATTTACATGTTAATTACTTTAACAAGGTCTCTTATGTCTCTTCAATGAAATTTTGGTGGATGATTTAATGGACTTTCCCCAGTTGAGAATGGTCTCTATATTGTATTTTAGGTTGAGTCTTGAGTTGCCCCCTCTTGTTAAAAAGAAAAACAAGAAAACAAGATAATAATATATACACATTTCAACTTGATTAGATAATTAGTTTGGGATGGTAACCACAAGGTTCTAAGTTTCACTTTCTGTGGAAGCTGTTTATTATTCTTCTTAGTTTAAGTCAGTTAGCTTTAGACAATTTAGACTGATTTACCTTCTTGTAATTTTTTTGCCAACTAGGAATGCGTGTTTCACCTAGAGTGCCCATTTGAGTAGCGATTGTGCGCTTTAGCGTAAATAAAAAAACATTTATTTCGAAGACAATAAATAATTCATTGACCAAGGTTTACATTAAACATCAGAAAACTATTATACCAATAAGGTATCATGATTTTTTTGAAAGCCAACCAATAAATGATTGTATTAATGAATCAAATCTTTAATCGAGTTAGGAGATATAGAATCCCAATACATAAACTGATCCTGAGAGAAAGCTAATGAAGCTAGAGTATGTGCATGCGAATTAACATGCCTAGTAACATAAGTTAAAGAACAATAATTAAAAGACGCCATTAGAGTCCCACATTGGTCCACAACGACCCCAACATAGGACATTAAAACCATTGATTCTTGACGTAAAGCATTCCGAAGTTGCGTGCAATCTGTAAGAATATTCACTGTAGTTATATTTTCCTCCAGGAGCCAAGATAGGGCCTCCTTACAAGCTAGGGTCTCCGCCATGAATGGCGACATGCAATACGATAGTCTTCCATTCCGAGTCGTTAAGAAGGAACCATCCGGCGAACATAGTACCATGCCGAAGGTGGCCTCTCCCGTAGTTTGTCGGAAACCCGCATCTATGTAGCATCTCGGATCGCCATGATCATCGAAGGCCGGAGCTGCTGCTACGGGCTGTGCACAGCGGAGGGTGGCTTGCGGAATGAGCTGTAGTTAGCTGCCGTCGTTCTCCACACGCCGACGGGTCGAGGAAGTGCACCGTCCCAAACAGCCGAATTGCGGGTTCGCCAAAGGTGGTACAGTAGTGCCACCATGACTCCAGTCTGTTCGTCTGTCAATATTGCAAGTGCAGCTATTAGCCATGCGGGAAAAGAGTTGGCAATAATATTTGTGATAGGGTTCTAAAATATTCCAAACAAGTCTAGAATAATCACAGGAAACTAGCGTATGCATAACATTTTCATGTGCCAACACACACATTTGGCATGTAGGATCAATCTCCACTCTCTTTATAATCAAATTAGTTGTTGTTGGGAGAATATCACAAATTGCTCTCCAGAGGAAAGTTTTCCATTTTGGGGGAACTCTCATTTTCCATATAGTGATCCATTTATCAAACTCCCTTGGTGTATGCTCATAAGTTCCCATAATATTTCTATAGGCATTCTTCACTATATAAATACCATTGGGGTCACCCAACCAATACCATGAGTCATCATAATCCGGGCTTATAGGAATTTTTAGTATACGACTCACATCCTCATCAACAAACAAATCAGCTAGAATATGGGGGTCCCAATTAGTAGTTTGTTCATCAATTAAACCTGCCACCTTGGCACTTCTTAATTCCTCAGGCATGTTAGTTTGAATGAGAGGGCTAGGATCGTCTAGTAACCATCGATGGCCCCAGATTAACGTTGTTTTACCATTCCCAATTCTTCTTCGTACACTTGCTATCACCATTTCATGTGCTACCATAATACTTCTCCAGGAGTAACTTGAGTAAGTTCTTATTTTAGCATCAACAAATGAGGTATTAGGGAAGTAACGTGCCTTATAAATTCTTGTCACAAGAGACATTGGGTTTGTTAGAAAACGCCATGCTTGTTTTCCTAACATAGCCAAATTGAAACCTCTTAGATCTTAAAGCCTAAACCACCAAACTTCTTAGGGATACATAATTTATCTCAGGCTTTCTAGTGAATTCCTCTTTCTAGACCAGTACCCCACCATATCTATTCATAGTCCTCTGGATTGATAAGCAAATCGTGTCAGGAAGCAAGAAAACACTCATTGAAAAAGTAGGCATTGACTGAGCCACACTTTGTAATAAGATTTCCTTACCCTCTTGTGATAGCAATTTCTTGCTCCACGAACCAATCATCTGTCTGATTTTATCCTCAATATAAGAAAACACCGCCCTCTTATTCCTTCCAATAAATGCTGGGAGCCCCATGTACTTTCCAAAGTTGGGTGCACGGTCTACCTGCAAATATGTTGCCACAATTTCCCCGTCCTCTTCTCTGGTGTTCTTACTGAAACAAATATTGGATTTATGATAATTCACCTTCTGTCCAGACAAAAGCTCATAGCGCCCCAAGCACTGTTTAACCACATTTGCTTCCTGAATATTTGCCTTAAAGAATAACATGCTATCATCTGCAAAAAAATATATGTGAAATAGGGGGGCCCCTCTAGCCACCCTACACCCATGTATAGAACCAGCCATTTGAACCCTCTGCAGTAACATAGACAAACCCTCTGCACAGATAATAAATAAATATGGGGAGAGTGGGTCTCCTTGTCTGAGACCCCGGGATGGAGTTACCCTGCCACTATTAACACCATTGATCAGTATATTATACTGAACAGTAGTAACACATTGCATAATCAGGTTAATCCAGCGATCCATCAAATCCCATGACCTCAAGCATTATTCGCATGAATTGCCATTCCATTCTATCATAGGCCTTTGCCATATCCAATTTTAAAGCTCCCCAACCTGTCAGGCCACACTGCTTTCTATTCAAAAAATGGCCAACCTCCGCAGCTATAAGAATATTATCAGTAATAAGCCTTCCATGAATAAAAACACTCTGGGATTCCGATATTAGATCTCCCATAAATGGTTTCATCCTATTGGCAATTACTTTAGCCATAATTCTATATAACACGTTACTCAGGGCAATTGGTCTCATATCGTTTCAGGCACATTCTTCTTTGGAATTAAAATCACATTTGTATCATTTAATCCCTCAGTGAAAGTTCCAGAATTCAAACAATCCAAAATAAAAGCAGATACATCCCCACCAACCACATCCCAAAATTGTTGGTAGAATCCAGGATTCATACCATCCGGTCCTGGAGCTTTATCAGGAAACATTGCAAATAAAGCACTCTTAACCTCATCGGACTCAAACGGGCGTAATAAAGCAATATTCTGATCATGAGTTACACGATTGGGGAAATTTTCAAACATGGGATCCTCACATACAGAATTCGAAGAGGAAAAAATAGCAGCATAATAATCCAAAATGACCTTCCTCATATTCTCCCCATCCACCCATATATCAGCATCATTTTTAATTCTAGGAATAAAATTCTTTCTTTTACGGGCAGAGGCATACCTGTGATAAAATTTTGTGTTGGAGTCCGCACCCCGGAGCTAGTGTTGCTTAGCCCTCTGCCTCCAAAAGGTATCCTCCTGAATCTCCAGCTGGCCGAGCCTCTCTTCAAGCCGTCGAAATTCAGCCAATGCATCTGAATCCTGCCGGTGTCTTAGTGCATCCTGTTCCTTTCTCAACCATTTCATGCGGTCACCAAATTTATTCCAGTGCTCCCCACCCAACCGCATGAGCCTTCATCCACAGTATTTCTGACAATTCAACAATCCCCTGTCCCTACCCTCTTGCCAGGCATTTTCCACCACATCCTTGCAGCCGTCATCGTGGAGCCAGGCCATCTCGAAACGAAAACCTCTCGGTCCCCCTTGACTGCGCACTGTTGTTATGTTAGTGTTCAGAAAGAGAGCCGAATGATCTGAGTTCCGAGTCTGAATATTCTCCACATTAGCCCCACCGTGTATACCAGTCCATCTTGCCGTTGCCAGTACCTTATCTAACCTCTCTTCAATCTACCCCTCAATCCCCTCACCTCTCTCCCATGTAAATTGATGCCCCCTCATTGCTAGTTGGAGTAAACCACAGTTATCTATAGTTTCCCCAAAACCTCTCAGTAGGCTATCAGGATGTGGGTTTCCTCTCTTTTCCTGCTGATATAATAGATCACATTAATTTTTTTTTTTTTTGTGAAGAAAGATTAATTCATTAAGTCATAGTCAAGAATGTTCACAAGAAAAGAGGGTGGTGTGTCCATCCACTCCTCGCCACTTGACACAGAAAAGGCCTCCCTCGCTACAGCATCGGCGGCACAGTTCGCAGATCACTTTACAAAACTAAATTCAACATCCCCAATTACAGATGTCAAATCCTTTACATCATCTACCAAAAACCCAAAATCAGAATTAAAGCTAGGAGCACGTAGTGCGTTATACACAACTTGGCAGTCCATCTCTACATCCACGCTTCTCATTCCCGTATTTTTCACCCAACTAAGGGCCTCCCGGATACTTAATCACATTAAATTTTTATTAGAGAAAATTTCTAAAATGTTCCTTCGACTATGGTACTTTCTCAAAGTAGTTCTATGACTTTTAATTGAACCCAAACTGATCCTTCAACTATTAAATTTTAAGCCAAATCGATCATCCGTTAGTTAGGCATGACCTTGTACGTCAAATTAGAGGGCAAAACAAAAAATTTACATTGTATAATGTTTCGACTACCATCGCCTTTAATTTTTCTCCCAAATTAGCTAACAAATTGCTTAGCTTCAATTTGATTAGGGTTCTTCAGGCTTCAACAATATATGTAATAGCCTACAAACTACACATAAATCTTATTCGACATGCTTGACTGAAAGAGTGTCAAAATACGAGAATCATACTCCACCACTTCAACCATCCCTTTCGAGGTCCAGTTTCATTGTTTTACATACTATAAGGAGATATTAAGCAAATAAACAATGATTGGAGTTACATTATAAAAAACACACCCGTAGAAAGAGAAACTCATGTACATGTTGGGTGAATGCTCACTACGATCATCTATAACTTGACCTTTCATGCCTTTGCTGTTTTTTACATTGATATTTATCTATTGCTATAATGACAGATAAGATTGGTGTTATGTCGTGATCACAATTTTTTTTTTTTTAATAATTGTTATAATTTCTTTTGCTTTTGTCCTTTTTTTTTTTTTTTTTTTTTTTTGGTATTGAAACAAAAAAAAAAGTTAATTTTATTGTTAGAATTTTTTAAAAAAAAAAAAAAGGAATTAAGGTTGTAAAACAATATTGGATTAGTTTAAGTTTGAAGAAAAGTATGGGGGCACTATGAAAGTATGAAGCAATTAATAAATATATAAGCAATGGCGAAAACCGTAAATAAAGTGAATATTTAGGGGTAGTTCCGGAAAAAGACTGTTGAAGGTGTTCGTGTACGTGTATAGCTGCAGCTATGATTCTGCATTTCATTTTTACGTGAAAACGCAGAAACGAAATCCATGGGTATTGCAGAGAGAGAAGAAGCGACCGCCTGAGCCATTTTCGTCGCCATTGCATTGTAGGGAGAGAGAAAGGCATCGAAATGAAAAGTTGCAGAGGGATTTGATCTCTTAAGAGAGAGAGAGAGAGAGAGAGAAAGAGAGAGAAAGAGAGAAAGAGAAAGAGAGAGAGAGAGAGAGAGATAAATCAAACAACATTGATCATCGTCCAGCATTGTATCCCCCTGCAACGCTTCCGCATGTGATTGATTTCTCTAAACCCTTCCCTCCTCAGCCCCATTCCCCCCTTCCACTTCCGTTGGCCACCGCACACACAACGAAAAGCCGCTTCCTTCACGTAACCCCCGCCTATGTATACAGATATTACGCAAATACAATTTGAGTATGGTGTAATATAGGTATACATTGGAAGGAGAAACTATCATTTCATTTTTAATGGCACTGAGGATTTAATGGGATTTCTATAAAGGCTCTCGATTGCTCTCAATTTTAAGAAATGGTAATGGGATGTGTTTACATTTTTCCTAGCTTCTCTTCTTATATAAATTGTTATATAGTTTTGTTTATAAGAGTTGGGTACTTGAGTAGGCTTGAATTGAAGGTTGTCTATAAATTACAGAGAAAGTTTAAAGCTTTGATTACTCGAATATGTTTGTGAGTTGTTTGATAGAGACGTTGTGATCACTGAATTCATGTTGCGAGCTTGAAATTTATTGTAAATTTGCTTCATTGAATATGTTGGTTTATTCATTTATTTATTTATTTTATAAAGTTATTAGTATAATGTAGGCATGTAGCATTTAATACTCTGTATCTTTCCATAAACAGAATGAGAAACATAAACAGAAACACAATTAAGATGCTGATGTTTATGCTCTAGCATTACCCTTTACAAAGTTGGCATGCACTTCGTGTTCTCTGTTCTGATCATTTTTGTTCAATAGCTTTTGCATGAATACTATTTTTGTAGATAACCTCCAATTTTACTTGTCTTTCTCTTGTCCTCCGTACCAACAAAAACAAGTTGCATTTGTTATAAAATTGTCATTATAATATACAGAGTGGTGAGCTTATTGTCACACACCCTTAGTCACAAACACACATAAAATACTTACAAATCAATATTTGAATGCCTCACTATATTCATATCCAAAGGAAAATAATATAAAAATTCTACATTTTTAAGAAAAAATGGTTATATGGAGTTTGGAGCATTAGCCATCATGAGCATCAAATTGCCAGTTCAGGGAAAAGAAAGCTGAACAATAAAGATTTCATAAAATATGACTAGAAAATACTGTATTTCTTAGAGATAAGAGAAAAAAAGAATGTTATTTCTTTTTTCCTTGGTAGACTTGCCAAAAATTTCATCCCTGAGGGATGTCGTTTTGGGAAGATAAAAGATCCCTCTTCCCTCTCATGAAGTTGCTGGTTAACAATGAAAGGCATCTTAATCTGTACAACTGTATGCTTGTTAAGTGATGTTTGATAATATACTTATAGATCCCATAAATCATTTCTTTAGAAGAAGACTGAATAAGTGAATAACATGCACTTTGCTTATTCAGTTTTGAACTTTAGCACCCATCTACTTGCTGTGGTCAATCAGTTTTATGACTTTGATCTCCTTAAATGAGATTTCAATTCACCTTTTTTCTTCTTTGCTTTCATCAAGATTCTAGATCATAACTGGATTTCGGGGTTTTTTTTTTTACATAACCTTTCTTGCTATGAATAAAACTTTTCACCTCCCATCTGGTGCACATTTCTTAAAGGCCTTATGGAGGTTCTCTTCAAATGTTGTTTAGCTTCTTTTTAATGGTGTAAATTGTTGTTTTATTATATATTCATATGTGTATATCTCTCAAACATTTCTATAAACATGAATGTGATTAGTGTAGCTAGCGTATAGTTGATTTGACAATATATTCCCAATTATTTATGCCTTTTCTTTATTAAAGTTGTGCATTCTATGCAGAGTATTTCCAGTATAGTTGTTGGGACACATGTTTGGGTTGAGGACCCTGAGGTAGCTTGGTTAGATGGGGAGGTTGTCGAAACGAAGGGCGATGAGATTACAATCAACTGTACATCAGGGACTAAAGTGAGTTCTTGCTATATTGTCTCTTTATTATTATTATTATTATTATTATTATTATTATTATTATTATTATTATCATTATTATTATTATTATTATTATCATTATCATCATTACTACTACTACTACTAATTAATTAATTAGCCTTTTTAATTAAAATTTGAGGATATAATGCTTTAAGTATAGTTTAAAATTGTTTCTCTGTGGATGCCTTTTCATCTTTTATTCTCATCTTCTACTCCATAGTTGGCTCTAATATTTCCTATTTGGACACTGGACATGGAGTAAAGGTTATTTCCTTAACTTTTATGAGCTTTATTTCTTGCCCAAAAACTATGCTGGAATTACTAGCATCTTGGCATGTTCTTTGGTTAGTTAGGATGTTTAAGAAAGCATCTAGCGGGATTCCCCTAATATAATACAGCAGCTATTGCATTAATGGATTACTGTTGTATCATATGCAAATTATATGGCATTATGCCTCATCTGTTTTTCTCCTCTTTTGCTTATTGTTTAGGGAGGGTAATTGAGATATATAACTAGCTCTATGGTTCAATTTACCTCATAACAGATACATGTGGGTCTAGTATTGGCTTCATGATTCATGGTGCAAGTATAGAATTGATATGAAATTAAATTGCTGCCATGAATTCCTGTGTTCCTTTTCTAGATTATCTGCATCCATTAAATGCTACATGTTTCTAATGCTACTTTTCAATCCATGTTTGCACTATGTAAATGCTAGAGGAGTCTAATATTACCATGTGACTTTTCAATCTGTGAAGCATTTAGCTACAGAGTGTACCTTTTAGTTTTTAATGGACACAGAATTTGAATTTTTATTTTCAAATTGCTTTGCTTTTTATGCTGTAGGTTGTCGCTAAGGCATCTAATGTCTATCCAAAAGATACTGAGGCCCCTCTATGTGGTGTGGATGATATGACAAAGCTCTCTTATCTGCATGAACCAGGAGTTCTGTATAACTTGAAATGTAGATATGATAGTGATGAAATTTATGTAAGTATTCTCTTCCCCTACGCAATGTTTCTCGTTCTCTAAGGATGAATACTGTGCCTTTTACTTTGTCCAAAACGTTGTTTCTTCATTCAGCTTTTGATTCAATCTAGTAGACAAGAAAGGTGTTTCCACTTTTATTTACTTTTTATATGTTGCAGTTTTTTTTCCTGTGAAGTGACTCATGGACTGCACTGATATATCTAAATGTTCCTTCAGACTTACACGGGAAACATATTGATTGCTGTGAATCCTTTCAAAAGATTACCTGACCTGTATGCTAAACATATCATGCAAAAGTATAAAGGAGTTGCACTTGGGGAGTTGAGCCCTCATCCTTTTGCTATTGCTGATTCTGCTTACAGGCAAGCTGTCATGCTTTGCAGGCCGCTTAAGTATTAATTCCTCTACTACTTTTCCATGCCTTCTAAAATGTTATATTTATAAATGCAGGCAGATGATTAATGATGAGATAAGCCAGTCAATTTTGGTTAGCGGAGAAAGTGGTGCTGGTAAGACAGAAAGCACAAAAATGCTTATGAATTATCTTGCATATATGGGAGGTAGATCTGAAAATGAGGGGCGGAGTGTGGAGCAGCAAGTCCTTGAGGTGTGCATTGTCTTCTATAAACTTTTATTTGTGTGATTATTATTATTATCCTATAAATGTTCTGGTATCCTAAATCCTAATCTGGTCTAAGTCTTCTGGATGTTCTTTATTTGGCAGTCAAATCCAGTTCTTGAAGCATTTGGCAATGCAAAAACAGTGAGAAACAACAATTCGAGGTGGTCATAGTTTACAATTTAAAATGCTTTAATTGAATTATGAGAGGCTTTATTATTGTTTTCTTTAACTAATTAAAGTCTGTATCACCAACGTACTGGTGGCAGTCGTTTTGGTAAGTTTGTTGAGATCCAGTTTGATAAAAGGGGAAGAATCTCAGGGGCTGCTATCAGAACATATCTTCTGGAAAGATCTCGTGTCTGCCAGGTGTCTGACCCTGAAAGAAATTATCATTGCTTCTATATGCTTTGTGCTGCACCACCAGAGGTAAAAATTTTTTTATCTTAAATATATGAAGCTCTTCATTGAAATTTGGGAGAAGATTTTCCCTTACTTAAAAATCAATTGCTTCCTAGTTATTGCCACATTGACTGGACTTGATTCAGTTTCTACTGAACTATCATACAAGAAATGGATTCTTTTCATTTTTTCTCTAGGATAAACTATGAATGGATTTTCTAAGAATGTAATTTGTTGGCTTCAATTTGTCCTACAAAATGTTTTGAACATGGTAAGTGGGAACCTGATGGCTCAAGTGGATTATGGAAACATGTTTTTCTTTTGTTTTTAATTATTTGGAATTAAATATGTGTTTTGATTGATTATTTACAAAAAAATGGTTTTCTCATTAATTGTTAATCCTTATATGCTATTCCTGAAGAATATTGGTTTGTCTATAACACAACCAGTAAATTTGTGTCCTTGTTCAGTTTCCACACACAATCTATTGCTTGCAGCTAGATGGGTGGGATGATTGAAGTTTTGGCTGAACAACAGCTTCAATAATGTTTACCTTCATTCTCATTTTGTTTGCCTTAAAAGTGAATATATTCATGATCCTCAGATTAAGCACTGACCTTGGAATAGTGCTGCTATAATTTAACTCCTGATTTCATTCATTTCATATTTTCTTTGTTTTGTAATAATTGCCATCAGGATGTTGAAAAGTACAAATTGGGAAATCCTAGGAAATTCCATTATCTGAACCAGTCAAGTTTTTTTGAATTGGATGGAGTGGATGAATCTAAAGAATACCTGGCCACCAGGAGAGCCATGGAAGTAGTAGGGATCAGTTCTGATGAGCAGGTATTAGAATGAAGACACTATTATTCATACATGGGTCACTTAGTGAGTGAAGTTGCTAGTAATAAAATCCATTTGCAGGATGCAATTTTTAGAGTTGTAGCTGCAATACTTCACTTGGGCAACGTTGAGTTTGCAAAGGGAAAGGAGATTGATTCTGCAAAACCAAAGGATGATGAATCTCGCTTCCACCTTAAGACTGTAGCTGAACTTTTCATGTGAGTTTTCTCTGCCCATGTTTCTCAAGATATCCTATGGTGTATTTTATTTCCAAGCACCCAAAGTTCATCATATTGAAGTTTTGTTTAGGTGTAATGAAAAGTTACTTGAGGACGCATTGATTAAACGCATCATTGTAACTCGTGATGAGAAGATAACAAAATGTCTGGATCCTCAAGCTGCTACTACCAGTAGAGATGCTTTGGCAAAAACAGTCTATTCTAAACTGTTTGATTGGTTAGTTGCTGAAATGTTAGTTTCAGTTGTCTTCTTCATCAGTATCAGAGGCAGCTCACTTTTGATTGTTTTCTTGTTCAGGCTTGTTGAAAAGATTAACAATTCTATTGGCCAAGATCCTGATTCTCAGATGTTGATTGGGGTTCTGGACATTTACGGATTTGAGAGTTTCAAGACAAACAGGTGCTTAACTGGTATGCTTTTGTTTTCATCATTCATGGAGGTTCATTTCATGCAGAGCCCTGCATGAAATCTCTGCTCTTATAAGTCTACTATAGGGATTCAGAACTAGAAGAGTTAAAATACATTGCCTCATACATTGATTTGATGAACTCTCCTTGAATTTTATTTTGTTTCTACTTTTCTGCTAGGTTTATCCTTATAAATAATCTTGGTCATAGCTGTTCTTTAAGCCTGTCTGATTCTCTTTTTCTTTTAACCTTTTTTGGTATAATGATATTCCCTTGCTGGTACCTTTTATACTATCAACTCTCTTTTCCTTTTCATTATTATGAAGGTTTGGTAATAAGCCTTGTCAATGGATTTATGTCTGAGAATCTGTAGTTTTTGATACTTTTGGATTTATATTTTCTGTGAATGAAGCTAATCTCTTTCATGCAGTTTCGAGCAATTCTGCATTAATCTGACTAATGAAAAGTTGCAGCAACATTTCAACCAGGTTTGTACCTCACATATATTCAACAAACTTGGGTAGTACTTCCATTGCACACAAGCTTTTTACAGCAATGTAAAAAATAAACTGATGAAAGCTGAAACAGTAATACAATATTACCTTAGCTATTTTCCTTTTGCAGCATGTCTTCAAAATGGAGCAAGAAGAGTACACCAAAGAGGAAATTGACTGGAGTTATATAGAGTTTGTTGATAACCAAGATATTCTTGATCTTATAGAAAAGGTCAGCATATACATATAAATTTATAATGATCAACTTAAGATAGATTTTATTGAAATACTATTTCTTAATCCTATAGAGAAGGGCGGAAGGTATTTAAATGGCTAATTCAAGTTAGATTTTAAACTTTCAAAAAAAAAAAGTACGAGTTAATATTATTTATTGTAACTCTCATTGTCTTTCTCCATGACTAACCCCATTCGTGCAACTTCTTGCTAAGGCCTTTGAGTGTCTTTCTGCTAAAGTGTGTGATGTAGTTTGTTGTTAATATGCTGTCTCTTTGTTCATGCAGCATGATTGGCTTGTTCATTTAAAGTGTACTCTTCCCCTGCCTATTCCATTTTGAATATAATGCTTCTTCTTCTTCTTCTTCTTCTTCTTCTTCTTCTTCTTTTTGAGTTGGAATATAATGCCTTTTATTTAAAAGAATAGTAGAATTTTGCTGATAAGAGTCATTGACATTAGAATTTCCTAAACACAAAGCTTAATATGATATGTTCTGTGTGGTTCTTTGATCTATGAATGTGAAATTTTGTTTATCAGTGATTTGTGTTGAAAGCTCTAATTTAAACAATAGGTCTAAAAAAGAAAATAGCAAAGATCAATGTCATAGACAGGCCACGGAGTAAGGTTAAAAGGACATGTCTCTATCCCAGCTCCTCTCCTTTGTACTGAATAAAATATATTGTATGCTCCTGAATATCTTTAGAACAAGTTGTCCTCATCATTGTCTATATTTACACGTGCCTTAACTAGGATAAAGAAATGGTGGCTTTGGGAACATGACAAAATCTGGTCATTACATTAAACTTTAATCACACAGAAATCACTGGATATCCTGTGTAGTTAGATTTCTTCTGTTGATGGACTTTGGATTAGTATTCATTCTTCTTCAAGCCCTTTATTGCACTGATCCCTGACATGCAGAGATATAAGGCCTATAGTGTGAGAATGTATTTGCTCTTACATATCTGGGGGGAAGGGGAAAGGGGAAAGGGGTAAGACTCAGCATAAAAGAATCTACCTAGTCTGAGTAGAGTTGGTAAAAATATTAGGCTAAAGGGTATGTGTAGTAAGGAATTGACAGCTCAAAATTTGGTGATTCCTGTTCCTGAATTCAGTTTTACTCTATCCTTTTAGGCAGTTGAGTTGCATATTAATTATTAAATGCCGCTACACTGTTCTGTGGAAGTAGCATGGTTGCAAAAATCACGCCTAGGCGCTAGGCAGTGGACGGCCGCCTAGAAATTCGGCGGAATTGCCGTTAGGCGCCCGCTTAGGCGGTCGTCTAGGCGCCCAAAAAAAATCTTCTTAATTTAAAAAAATATAAAAATGGACCCCGCCTGAGGAATGCCTAGCGATTTTTGCAACCTTGGTAAGTAGATAACACAAATGGGTAATCAGGGACATGGGCAACAATAGATAATGCTCTTTTCCTGCCATGTTTATATGCCCTATTCTTATGCTGTTCTGTTTTGCATTTTTGTAAGCAGTACTGTCCATTTAATTCCTGCCATGCTGCCCTCTTCATGTCAACACTATTCTGGTCTTGCTATTGTAACATTTTCAGTAATTACAGGCTTTACTCTCTGTATTCAGTATAAAAAGCTTACCTTGGAATTCTATTATGTGTGCCTTTGAAGAAAATATAAGTAATATAGAGCAAAATATCTCAAGTATTAAGTAGGAGGAAAATAAGAAGAGAATAGACACCCCTTGGGGAAAGGGGCAATTGAATATGCTTCCTTGAAGTCTTTTTGCTGTTTACAACCTGGTCAGCTCATTTGGTCTTGTGAGTTTTGTATTTTATCAGCAATTGGAATTGGAATTGGAATTATATACTGTTCAGACTCACTTAAATATTTCTTTCAGATGTCAATTATTGATGTGGGCTGCACGTCATATTTTTTATGATCTGTGTTCCTGCACATGCAGTTATTCTTTTGCTTCTACATGATTGAGTTTAATGTTTTCAATTATTATTTTAGAAACCTGGTGGAATTATTGCTCTCCTGGATGAGGCCTGGTAAATATGTTTAGGATATTGAGTTCTCTTATTTCGATAGAGTACTAGTTATGCTTGACTGTTAACGTTTCTTGCTTACTTTTTGTAGCATGTTCCCAAGGTCAACACATGAGACTTTTTCTGAAAAGCTCTATCAGACCTTCAGAGACAATAAACGCTTCATCAAGCCAAAGCTATCACGAACTGACTTCACTATTGTCCATTATGCTGGTGAGGTATGTATCTCTTGTGATGTATTTACAAGAAAGAAGTGTTGCTTAATGCATTTTTGACTACTGAAAATTGCTGTCTTAGGTGACATACCAAACTGATTTATTCTTGGACAAGAACAAAGATTACGTAGTTGCAGAATACCAAGATCTCCTCAGTGCTTCAAGGTGCTCCTTTATCTCAGGCTTGTTCCCGCCACTGCCTGAAGAATCTTCTAAAACATCGAAGTTCTCCTCTATTGGTACTAGATTTAAGGTATGGTTTGGCCATTCTCCTTTACATAAACTAGTTTATGTGGAGGATATATTTTATCCTGTTCCTAAAATAGATTAGTTTGACCCAAGGTAGTCTTCATCTAAACACATATCTGATGTCAGCTTCCATAATTCTGTCAGATAATAATTTTTTTTTACCAATCAACAAATAAGAATAAAGTCTTTTTCTGCTTTAAGACAAGGTGACAAGAATGAACCAAAGATGCATAGAATCAAAATAAACTTATTCTGAATCCTTCATCTTGTGTAGTTAATATGACAAAATTAGGAAAATGAAAGAGTGGTGAAATAGGAGGGTGGGGAAGATATATATATAGAGAGAGAGAGGAGGTGGAGGGGAGAGATTTCATTCCTTTCAAGTCATTGGCTATTCCTAAGTGATTTTCTAAAATGTAAAAAAAAAAAAAAAAAAAAAAAAAAAAAAAAAAAAAAACAAAACAAAACAAAACAAAACAAAAAAGAAGCAATGATGGACTTTTTTCTGGGTACAACTTTTTTTATCAGCTCTTTCCTTGCCTATTAAATAAATCGTTCCCTCTCTTCAAGTAAAACAATGCTAACTTTGAACTTTGCATCATTGTACCTAGTTGTATTTGCTAGTAAAGATTTTGTGAAACCCCTGTGTAACTTCATGTATTTCATATCTTTCAATAAAATGGAGACACCTATTTATACAAGACTACATGTACTAACTAAGGAAAATAAATCACTAAGAATATACTTTAGAATCCCTAAGATTAGTCAAATATAGTCCTATCAGAATATACACAGAATCCTTAAGATTAGCTGAATATAATCCTATCAGAATAATGTCTAACACTCCCCCTCAAGTTGGAGCATAGCTATTGATTATGCCCAACTTGTTACACAAATAATTTACTCGAGGCCCATTCATGGCTTTTGTAAAAAGATCTCCTAATTGTTCTCCTGTTTTCACAAACCCTGTAGAGATTAAGCCTCGTTGTATCTTTTCACGAATGAAATGACAATCAACTTCAATGTGCTTGGTTCGTTCATGGAAGACAGGATTGGCTGCAATATGGAGAGCTGCCTGATTGTCACACCATAGCTTCGCAGGGATAGGAGCCTTGAGTCCTATCTCATCCAGAATGTGATATATCCACAAGATTTCACAGGTTGCTTGTGCCATTGCTCTATACTCTGACTCTGCACTTGACCGTGAGACAACACTCTGCTTCTTGCTTCTCCACGAGATCAAGTTCCCACCGAAGAAGACACAAAATCCGGTTGTAGATCTCCGATTCTCCTTAGACCCTGCATAGTCTGCATCTGCAAAACACTCAACCTTCATATGTCCATGGTTTTGATACACAATTCCACGCCCTGGAGCCCCTTTCAAGTAGTTCAAGATTTGTTCAACAGCTCTCCAATGATCAATAGTTGGTGATGCCATAAACTGACTTACAACACTAACCGAGTAAGCGATATCAAGACGGGTTACAATCAGATAGTTTAGCTTACCAACCAATCTCCTATATCTTTCTGGATCATCAAATGGCTCCCCCTCTGGTGTCAACTGTGAATTTGGGATCATTGGACTATTGGAGTATTGCATGGCTTAGCTCCCAGTTTCCCTGTTTCTGTCAATAGATCAAGTACATATTTTCTTTGGGAGAGAAATATACCTTTCTTACTCCGTATTACCTCGACACCTAGAAAATACTTTAATGTACCAAGATCTTTAGTTTGAAATTGACCATGAAGAAATGTCTTAAGAGATGCAATACCAGCCGTGTCACTACCGGTGATGACAATGTCATCCACATAGACAACTAATAAGATAATACCTGTTTTAGAATGCTTATAAAAAACAGAGTGATCAGACTTCCCTTTCACCATGCCAAACCTTTCAATTGCTTGACTGAATTTTCCAAACCATGCACGAGGGCTTTGTCTTAGACCATATAGAGATTTGCGAAGGCGACAAACTTTACCATACTCCCCCTGAGTAACAAACCCAGGTGGTTGCTCCATGTAAACTTCTTCGTGGAGATCACCATGTAGAAAGGCATTCTTAATGTCCAGTTGGTGTAGAGGCCAATCATGCGTAGCAGCCATAGAGATGAGCAATCTAACAGAAGTCAATTTTGCAACAGGGGAAAAAGTGTCAGAGTAATCAATACCATAGGTTTGAGCATACCCTTTTGCAACAAGACGTGCCTTCAATCGAGCCACTGACCCATCAGGATTAACCTTCACCACAGACACCCATTTGCACCCAATGGCCTTCTTACCTATAGGTAAATCCACCAAGTCCCATGTACCATTGAAATCCAAGGCATTCATTTCCTCAATCATAGCATTACGCCAACCCGAATGAGACAGAGCTTGTTTGACAGTTTTAGGAGTTTGTATAGAATCAAGAGAGGCAATAAAAGAGCAGGAAATAGGGGTTAAGTGAGTATAAGAAACAAACGATGAAACAGGATAAGTACATGACCTTTTACCTTTACGAAGGGCTATGGGCAAGTCAACTTGATCAGACGACGAAGAGACCGACTCAGGACATGAATCGGGCATATTGTCTGGGTTGGGGTCAACGATATTTGAAATAGACGGTTGTTTACTAGAATATACCTGAGTGATTGGTGGTCGAAAAGGTGGAATAGATGCGGAAGTAGTGGTAACCGTATAGATGAGAACATCATCATCCTCCACATGGCTTTCGGATTTTGAAGAAGATGAGAAGGGAACATCTTCATGAAATGTGACATCAATAGACACTAGATATCTTCCCGTTGACGGACAATAACACCTATACCCTTTTTGGACAAGAGAATATCCCAAAAAAATGCATTTTAGAGACTTTGGATCTAACTTTGTGATATGAGGCCTAACATCTCTCACAAAGCAAGTACATCCAAAAGTTTTCGGTGGAATATGATACACAAATTTTTGAGGATAAAGACACTGATAGGGTGTTGCACCACGCAAGACTGAAGATGGCATACGGTTGATCAAAAAACATGCAGTAGAAACTGCATCCGCCCAAAAGTGTTTAGGAACCTGTATTTGGAACAGGAGAGCCCGAGCAGTTTCTAGTAAGTGCCTATTTTTCCTTTCAGCAACCCCATTCTGAGATGGGGTGTCAACACAAGATGATTGATGTAAAATACCATGTTCAAGCATATAAGAAGAAAAGGTTTCAGAAAAATACTCTTTAGCATTGTCACTTCTTAATACACGAACAGGTATATTAAATTGTGTTTGTATCTCAGCACAAAAAACACGGAAATGAGAAAACAATTCAGAACGACTTCTCATGAAATATAACCAGGTCATGCGAGAGTAGTCATCAACAAAAGTAACAAAATATTGAAATCCAGATTTAGACATAACACGACATGGACCCCAAACATCTGAATGAACTAACTCAAATGGAGCATTTGCTCGTTTATTGACTCTAGGACTCAAACTAACTCGATGATGTTTAGCAAACTGACAAGACTCACAATTTAAAGAAGACACCTTACTAAATTGCGGACACATCTTTTTCAACAACGGTAAAGAAGGGTGTCCTAAACGACAATGAACTTCAAAAGGTGTACCCATCCCAAAGCAGGCAACAGTTCTTGGAGTGTTAGAATCAAGAATATAGAGGCCACCAGACTCATGTCCTCTACCAATAATCTGCTTCGTCGTAAGATCCTGGAACAGGCAATGAGTAGGAAAGAAAGTTATAGAACAATTAAGAGCATTAGTGATTTGACTAACAGAAATCAAATTAAAAGACAAGTTGGGAAGGCTCAAGACAGAGGACAACGGGAGTTTAGGAGTTGGATTAGCAGTGCCTATCCCAAGCACCCTAGAGGTGGATCCATCCGCTAGATTGACCTGGGGAGAGGAAGAAGAGGATTGAAAGGTAGAGAGGAGACTAGAGTTACCTGTCATATGATCCGTGGCACCCGAATCAATAACCCATTTGGAAGCGGAAGAGACGAGGCAAGTGTTGGGATTACCTGAGGTGGCAGCAGCTACAACTGAGGCAGATGATGAGGATTCTTGGTACCTTAGGAACTTAGCATAATCATCTTCAGAGAGTACAGCCGTTGTCTCACTTTTCTCACTATTAGCTTCGGAAGACACCCCATTAGCATACCGATTTCCCTGATTTCTAGTCTGAAGCTTTCGGCAATCCTTCTTCATGTGCCCCGGTCTGTGACAATAGTGACAAATGATTGTATTAGACTGCTGTCCATGAGAATCCCTACTGTGATATGATGACTTCACAGGCTCCTCCTTTGACTTCTGGCTGACAAGGACGCTACTTGACCGAGGGGGATGGTAGGTCTCTGCGCTTAAGACTCTAGAGAATACATCAGATAGCGATTTGAGTTCTGCACTAGACAATATCTGTGATTTGGCTGGTTCTAGCCGAGGATGAAGGCCAGCCAAAAAACTCATGATGGTCGTTTGTTCTCGCTGTTTCTGCTGCTCTTTTATATCCAACGTGAAAGGCATTAACTCATTAAGCGCCTCATAAGTTTTTTTGAACTCCATAAAGTAGGTCTGCAGAGGTTTGTCAAGCATTTTGGCCCGATAAAAAATCTTACAAACATCATAGATTCGAATAATGTCGCCCTTACCCGAATACAAAAAATTAAGATAGTCTAAAAGCTCTTTTACAGTTTCACAGTGACTGACAAAACCAAATATCTCAGATTCAATTGAATTCCGTATTTGAAGAAATAACTTAGCATCATCACGCAACCAAGTTTGTTTAGTTTTGTCATCCTCAGGTGGGTTTTCAGTCATATGACCATCTTTGTCAATACTACGCATATATATTTTAATGGTTCGTTTCCAATCCAAATGATTTGAGCCATTTAGTTTGTGTTCTGTGATTCTTGCATTGATTGGAAGAATATCAGACACAACAAGAGACCGATTTTCAGTCATTATGCTAGACAACCCAAACCACCCAAACCAAACAAACAGAGGCAATTCTCCAAACCCACACAAAATAGGTAGCAGGCAGTCACAAACCAAACAACCAGCAATGCTTCAAACCCACACAAACCAAACAGCTAGCACAACACTGTCGACCAAAAGAGAAGACAGAAAAATATTACCGGGACCTTCAATGCCAAAACCGAGTCTAGAGCAGTGTTGTGGAAGGCCAGACGACCTTGGGAAGGGAAACCGAAGCAGATTCCAGCAGCGGAAGAAGGCTCACGAGCAGAAGAAGAGAACAGGAGAAAAAAAAATCTTTCAATAAAAATCTTTCTTACAGAGGCTCTGATACCATGTAACTTCATGTATTTCATATCTTTCAATAAAATGGAGACACCTATTTATACAAGACTACATGTACTAACTAAGGAAAATAAATCACTAAGAATATACTTAGAATCCCTAAGATTAGTCAAATATAATCCTATCAGAATATACACAGAATCCTTAAGATTAGCTGAATATAATCCTATCAGAATAATGTCTAACACCCTGTAATAAGATGAGTACATTGGTTGTTCTGACACTTTGAGCCACTATCTTGCAATCTACTCATTAATTTATTATTATTATTATTATTGTTGTTGTTGTTGTTGTTATTATTATTATTATTACTATTACTATTACTATGATGACTATTACTATGATGGTTTGATTGGTTTAATGGTTTCAAATATTATGTTTTTATTAACTATCATTTTACTGTGTGCTTTTGTCTAACTTTATAAAGTAAAATGACCTGTATATGATACAGCAACAATTGCAATCATTGCTTGAAACACTTAATGCCACCGAGCCTCACTACATTCGTTGTGTAAAGCCAAATAATCTTCTAAAGCCAGCCATCTTTGAGAATCAAAATGTACTTCAACAGCTTCGATGTGGGGTATGCTTTCATAATTTTATGTCATTTAGAAAGATGTTTATGTTTTCAAACTTGCTCAAATGATAATTATGTTGTTCCAGGGAGTTATGGAGGCAATTAGGATTAGCTGTGCTGGATTTCCCACTCGGAGAATATTTGATGAATTCTTTAAACGTTTTAATATTCTTCTTCCTGAAGTTAAGAAGGGCAGGTATTTATAGGCCTTTGATTTGATTTTGTTTTACTTCTGTTCTCTTTGGCTAAAGTTGTTTCCTTTCTCATTACCACTCTATCACATCACATAGCTTCTTTATTTTATTTTTTTTTAATTTATAGCTGTGATGGGATCACTGCTTCCAAGAAAGTTTTAGAGAAGGTTGGCCTCAAAGGTTATCAGGTAACTTATATACTCTTCACTGGTCATCAGGTCACTGCTTGGCTGTTGCTTCACTAAAAGTCTGAGCATTTTTGTTCATTTTTCAAGTCTCTTATTTAAGTTCTCCCTAAAGAAATTCAATTCCTGTATCCTTCCTGGCTGATAAATGTTCTTGTTTCAATTTAAATGAGTTACATGGGTGTATTGCAACTAAGTGTGTCTATTAGGTGTCATCCCTGTATGGCTCTTAAATTATCAAAGATACTTCTTCATTTTTGCAGTGACATATTTTACTCTTTTTCACTGTTGGAAAGTTACCTGTCTTTGTAGATGTTGTTTGACTATTTAGCAACATTTTTATTACAACATAGTGAAGGAAAGTGTGATGAAACTGTTATAAAATAGTACTTAGTTCTATGATGCTGGTGCTCATATGAGGTAATAAAATGCTTATAATTCATAATATGAATGAAAGTTTACAGAAAGTTATCTTAACCATTTGAACCTGAGATACATGAGGTTGTCATGCTATATACACATCTAGTATAATACATACTGAGTATACAAAATAGGAATAAGGGTCAAATAGGCCATCGAACTACACACGAAAATGCAATTAGGCCACTGAACTCAAAAAACATGCAATTGGGTCCCTGAATAGCGCAAAATGATGCAATTGAACCCAAAAGTAACTTACTTACCTGGAGTGGGGGTTATTTTATTAAAATAATATTTTTTATTTTATTAAATAATTATAAATAACAAAATTTAAAAAAAAAAAAAAAAAAAAAAAAAAAACACTCATCGTCTCCAGGCCGCCGGAGACGTTCCATGCTGGACCCTTCGTCTCCCGGCCGGAGACGAAGGCCTCCCTTCGTCTCCCGGCCGGAGACGAAGGACCCTTCGTCTCCAGGCCGGAAACGAAGGGCTCCCTTTCGTCTCCAGGCCGGAAACGAAGGGCTCCCTTTCGTCTCCAGGCCGGAAACGAAGGGCTCCCTTTCGTCTCCAGGCCGGAAACGAAGGGCTCCCTTCGTCTCCAGGCCAGAAACGAAGGGTTCAATTGTTTCATTTTGCGTTGTTCAGGGACCTAATTGCATGTTTTTTGAGTTCAGTGGCCCGATTGCATTTTTGTGTGTAGTTCGATGGCTAATTTGACCCTTATTCCTACAAAATATAAAGCAAGGAGAGAACATATGGCATTTGTAACCACTTGGCTTTATGGCAATTTTCTTAGTTTGACTTTCTATTTGTTACGGAGTATAATCTAAGATTGGGTCAAGGTCAGGTTTCGACACCATGTTATAATCTAAAATTGGGCCAAGGTCACTCAATTGGGCTATAAACACATGGATCAAACTACACTAGAAGACTGAATCCAATAGCTAGTCTAACCCATAACTTTATAAACTCATATATTCTTTCATATAGTTTCAATGTGGGACTCTTAACACTATTTCTAATAACTTTACAAATAAAATAAACTACTCCATGTTATTAAATGATTAATAAATACAGGAAAGGAATAGTTTATGAAATAATATCTTTTAAACTTGTATTATATTAGATTATTAGGTATAAACCGTATAATATAAAATAAATTCCTGAGTTTGGATTAAATTGCCACAACAAATTTTTATATTGAAAAAAAAAAAAACTTTAATGTAGAATAGTTTGAATTAAATACTTCACCAACATAAAGATAAAAAAACTTCTAATAACATGTGCAATGTGTGGTAACACTAGTATGTACGGACTACGGAGTATAAAAGAACATGAAGTATTGTGTAAATTCTGTTAATAATTGTTCTATGCAGATTGGCAAAACCAAAGTGTTTCTTAGAGCTGGTCAGATGGCAGAATTGGATGCTCACCGTAATGAGGTCCTTGGAAGATGTGCATGCACCGTACAGAGAAAAGTCCGCACCTATTTTAAGCGCAAAATGTTTCTTTTGTTGCGAGATTCAGCCACTAAAATCCAAGCTATATGCAGAGGTCTGGCTGACCTATATCCCAATCTTGATTTATTGATGTGATAATGTAAGCTAGTGTGATAATGCAAGCTAAAAGTTCTCTTGACCTGACCATGATCTGAATACAGGTCAACTTGCACGCAACTTTTATGAATGGAAGAGGAGAGATAGGGCATCTTTGATGATTGGAAAATGTACACGTATGTTCCTTGCAAGGAAAGATTACAAATTGCTTTGCTCTTCAGCTGTTTCCATCCAGACAGTACTGCGTAGGATGGCTGCTCGTAATGAGCTTAATTATAGAAGAAGAAGAAAAGCAGCTATTGCTATCCAGGTAACGAGGGTTCTGCAAAGTTTTACAAGTCAGTGTTTGTTACATGAAGTTATTAAATATCATTTTTGCTTAATTGCTTAGTTGGTTTAGAGCTGCATACCTGGAACTTATTTCTTATAGCTAAGTAGCCATTTTTTTTCTCCTGAATATCACTTAGCAAGATAACACAATATTCTTGACTTGTTGTACTAGTTTGATACGTGACTAGTGAAGACTCACCAAATTTAGCCCTTGATGTAGGCAAAGTTAACTTAATTTTGGTGAGATCAACAGATTTCAAACTGTCACTATTATGATTGCCAATCATATAGATAAATATTACTTGGTGATCATGGTTTCATAGATAGGATCCACTGTATATTATCTAGTATTCTTGGTTGGTACTTGGAGCAATCAAAATAGATATCATGACTAATCATCGATATGCTGTTGCTTATTCTTTCAATGAAGTTCGAGTGTTGGGACCATTGAAACAATCCAAAGATTTTAGTAGTTCTTCCACCATTAATCACATGTGAGGAATCTCATTTGCTATGATTTTGTCCATGACAACTTACCTACCTGACTAGATTGGTTATTTGCATTCAGGCTTGGTTAAGAAAGGCTAGAGGGAAATTTCTTTTCATCTTTGTGTCTGTATCTGACTTAATAAGTTAATAGTATTTATCAAATCTATTTGCATTGATTTCAGACTCATTGCCGTGGATTCCTGGCCCACCTTCATTATAGGAGGATGAAGAAAGCAGCACTTGCTACACAGTGTGCATGGAGGATGAAAATTGCAAAAAGAGAACTGCGCAAACTTAAAATGGTGAGATCCTGTTTTCTAGTATGCCTTTTCTTCCTTCTTCCTATTCTCTTTCTTTCATCTCATTTAAAAAATAAATAAATAAATTCTGAACACATTTATTACAGGCATGCTACTGAACATTATTCTCTCTTCTTTTCATTTTTAACCTAAGATAACTCAGGAGTAATTTTGCAATTTTCAAATTTCAAGTATCTGTGACCGACTTAAAACTGAAGGATTTTGTTTTTATGTTAATCTTGTGAGGATTGCTTTCTCTGCCAAACTATTGTTGCCTGGACATTACTTAGATCATACTCAACCAGTTTCTGTTTATCTTTTGCCTTGTTGAATTTGAAATTTAATTCTTTCTAAAACATTTTTGTAAAACAATATGAGAGGATCACTTACTGTTACTACCTACCCAAGAGGTGAAAGTGATTGCTTCAAGACAGAACGTAGATAATCTTTTTTACTCTTTTAAAGATTTGTGATTGTTAACATAAGAACTCTATATTTTTCATATATCTCAGACTAAGGAATATACATATTTGTTGAAATTGAGGGATTGATAGATCTGGCGGGTGGAGAATAACCACCACCCGCCAGTTAGGCGGAAGCAAAATATGTGAGAACCAAAGAACAAGAGAAGATAGAGAATATATTATAATGAAAGATTACAATAGATTGTCTCTCTGTATATCTATGGACCTCTATATATACTAAACTAGATACTAAATTAGTCCTAATAGAAATAGGAAACTACTAATAAGAATAGGAAACTAAGACAACTTTCCTAATATTCAACACTCCCCCTCAAGCTGGAACATCTGGAAGTTCCAAGCTTGGATTAAAACAAACACTCTACCTCACTCAAAATTACAAATGAAAATTAAATGCAACTAGAGGATAACAATGCGAGATGGCTTCGGAGGGACAATGCAACCCTTGGGAATGAACACGCCAGGGGCAAAGCTTGTCACGAACATCCTTGGGAAAACACGAACACCATCACAGCAACATAAGCACTCTAGGATGGATGACTTCAAAAGAGATTGCGCTATGTCTGACCCTTCCTTGGGAATGAAGACGAAGGCACCAAGAACGGAGCTGAACACAATCCTTGGGAATAAAGACGAAGACACCAAGGACCCTTTGGAATAAAGACGAAGACACCAAGGACCCTTGGGAATAAAGACGAACACACCAAGGATAGAGTTAAACATGAACAACCTCCCGATAACACAATAGAGCGGTAGAGGCAAAAAGGGAGCAAAGAATAGTAAAGGACGCAGTAGAGCCCATAGTAGATAAAATAGCAAATGATAGTAAAGGATAGCACACCGATTGTAGATAGTCACACCCCCCCCTTACTTGAAACATGGGAAATAATCTAAGGCCTTTATAGTAGTGCTAAAATTGAACATCCATGGGATAAGGCATACCGGAGATAAAGAAACAAACACGGTTATACCAAAACACAAACACCATGGGAAAAGTTCGGCAACAAACCCAAAGAAGCCTTCAAATTTCACCAACAAGTCGAAAGAAGGGCAAAACAACAATCTGAAAAATCTCGCCGGAGGCAGACTCACACGCCGGCGCGTGACGGCGGCGGTGGCGCGTGAGAACAACAGCGGTGGAGGAAAGCGATGAAATTTTCCAGATAAGGTCGCAAGAGGGAGAGGAATCCATTGGTGTAGGAGGTGAGATCACAAAATCACTGGAGAAGAGGAGATCTGAACGGAAAAACTAAAGCAGTCCGTCAGCGATGGTAGCGCATGCGGTGGCGGGTGGTGACGAGATTCCAAGCGTAGGCTCGCGACGATGATCCGAGAGGTCCTGTGGTGAAAGATTTGGAGAACAACCACAAGACACGTCGGAACAGGAGAAAACCGTCACTGGTTCGCCGGAAAATAAGTGCTGCCGGAAATATTGGAAGAAAAATAGCCTAGGAAAGTAGGCTCTGATACCATGTTGAAATTGAGGGATTGATAGGTCTGCGGGTGGAGAATAACCACCACCCGCCAATTAGGCGGAAGCAAAATATGTGAGAACCAAAGAACAAGAGAAGATAGAGAATATATTATAATGAAAGATTACAATAGATTGTCTCTCTGTATATCTATGGACCTCAATATATACTAAACTAGATACTAAATTAGTCCTAATAGAAATAGGAAACTACTAATAAGAATAGGAAACTAAGACAACTTTCCTAATATTCAGCAATATTTATACAAGAAACTATATACTAACTAAGGTAAGGATCTGAACCTAATCCCTAAGAATATACACATTAATCCCTAATGTCATGCTAAATATATTCTTACCATTTATAATGTCTAACAGTGATGATCTGTATTAATCCTTTTTGTTTTTAAAGCAAGGCCAGAGCTGATCTGTGCCCCATTATCTTTGCCCATAGGTTGATCAATCTTTATGGAAATCCATATTTTAGCATGTATTCTGATAGAATCATTTGTATTGACAAGAACAATTTAGACTGTCCCAACCAAAAAGAAGGTTCTTATAAATACGTTCCTTGGAATTAATGTATGATTGCTACAAAGGCAGAATTTTATCGTGTGTTGAAGGCCGTGTTTTTCTTGTATGCTTCAGGCTGCAAAAGAAGCAGCTGCTTTGCAAGCTGCCCTGGAAAAGCAAGTTGAAGACCTCAGTATACAAGTGGAGTTCGAGAAGCGCATGAGGGTAAATATGTTGCTTTGAAATGTGAAAATGTCTTTTTTATATTTAGTTATTTTGGGGATAGGGGGTTCAACTTTACCACATACCAAATGCATAGAGTGACTAAAGCTCAAATCCCTTTTCTTTTATCCCTAATTTATTTTCTCATTTTTCTGAACCCATACTATTAATGTTCTTAAAACTATAGCATAGTTTTGTTCCAACTTGATAAATAGTCGCATCGATTCTGTGGTTGTTACCAATGCTTGTCTCTTTTCCTTTTCTTCCCTTCTTCAGTTATCACCTGAGACACCAGAAAATGATTAGAATTTCTATAGCACATTTACCACTCAATTTGTTTCATGTTACATCAATATATGCATGTGAGTTCATCATACTCATTAGGTATGTTATTGACTAGAAAAAGGGATGCACTGAACTGGGAATTGTGAAATGAAACTTTTAAACAGAAAACAACATTTGCAGGTTCTAGCTTCAAATTAACCTAGCTTTTACAGTTTTACCGTTAGGGGCTTCACATGGAATTGCATCTACTTTCTCTATTCTCACATTTCTAATTACAAAATGATAAAAGATTTCCACCTAAAGAAAGAGTTGTCTTTGTGATGTAGCAGTGGTCATTCTTATGTTGTTCCTCGCTTTGTTATTCAAAATTTTGCGTGCTGTCCTTGAAACGTGTATCCATGCTTAAATTGCAAAACACATTTTGTAAACAGAATTTCTGATAAATGAAAATTATTTCTCTTTTTCTTGATTCAAGAAACTGCTATGTTTAGATATTTAGGGATTGATTCATCAAGTGGTGCTAAGCAGTGTCTGTAAATAGAGAAACTTAACATGAGATATCAACAGTTTGCAGTTCCTGGAACTGCAATGATGACATCGAATTGTTATGATATCATGCTTCTAATCAGGAAATTTCAGCATGGGATTTAAATATTGCGAGAACTTTAAACATCCTTATTTAGGAAACACTACTACATTCTCTTTGATAATGAAGCAAAGGTTTTTGACAAATGACCTTTTTATTTATTCATGTTTAAAAAAACTACCTTTTAATATTAAAACTCAATTACAACATAGGTAGATAGACTATATACCTTAGCTCAGACTATAAATAGTGGATAAAAAATGCTAGACCTAGTGTTTTATGGTTTTATTTTATTTTTTGAAATTCGAAAAGTATCAACAAGAAGTTTGCAAAGTTTCACAAAACGTAAGTCAATTGAAGTGATTATTACACTTGACTTTTGCAAGAAACTCCCGCAGATGCAGTGGACGATCTGTGACCTCTGTGTTTGAATGTTTAAAATAAATATCCAATGTATATCTGTGGATAAGATGATAAGCACCTTCAATGGGATCTTGTCTTAATATCGGGTCTATTCATGGTAGTAAGTGTGTCAAATTATTGACTGTTGAATGGTCCCTCTCTGTTATGCATTTGATCTATGCTTACAGCCAACAAATTGAATTATATCCATAATCTATGAAGGGTAACAAAGGTAGAAGTTTTTGTCTAGTTCTCAGCACTTTGTTTTATTGCATTGTTCAATGAACTGAGATAGAGGCAGATTCCATTGAACAACCATTAAGCCAGTTATTCTTTGTGGCAGCAAATATTGGGCAATAAAGAAGCAGCATATCTGTAAAATTGCTGTCACTAAGATAAGAATGCTAATTTGTATGTACAAAATAGTTTATTTAAAGTCAGGCACAAGTGGTGCCTACTGATGACAAATTAGAGGAAATAAACTTTAGATGATTTAGACATGTTCAACATAGCCTCTGGATGCCCAGTAAGAAAGTGTAATTTAGATTGCGATTGGTTTAGCATTAAACAGAATCAACAAATCTTAATCCACTTAGATTGGGATTAAGGCTTAGTGAAGTTGTATTTAACTGTGGCAGCAAGATGGAGTAAAAGATGATAATTGCATTCCTTCTTATAGGCTGACATGGAGGAAGCCAAAACTAAAGAAAATGTGAAACTACAGTCTTCTTTGGAAGAGATGCGGCATCAACTTCAAGAGGCTAAAGAATTGGTCATGAAGGAAAGCGAGAAAGTAAAGGAGTTTGCTGATAAAGAGGAAGCCAAAACTGAAGAAAATGTGAAACTACAGTCTGCTTTGGAAGCCAAAGGTGAAGAAAATGTGAAACTACAGTCTGATTTGGAAGCCAAAGGTGAAGAAAATGTGAAACTACAGTCTGATTTGGAAGCCAAAGGTGAAGAAAATGTGAAACTACAGTCTTCTTTGGAGGAAATGCGAGTTCAGTTTCAAGAGACTAAAGAATTGCTCATGAGGGAACAAGAGAAAACAAAGGAGCTTGCTGACACAGAAGAGGCCAAAACTGAAGAAAATGTGAAACTACAGTCTTCTTTGGAGGAAATGCGAGTTCAGTTTCAAGAGACTAAAGAATTGCTCATGAGGGAACAAGAGAAAGCAAAGGAGCTTGCTGACACAGAAGAGGCCAAAACTGAAGAAAATGTGAAACTACAGTCTGCTTTGGAAGAAATGCGACTTCAGTATCAAGAGACTAAAGAATTGCTCATGAGGGAACAAGAGAAAACAAAGGAGCTTGCTGACACAGAAGAGGCCAAAACTGAAGAAAATGTGAAACTACAGTCTGCTTTGGAAGAAATGCGACTTAAGTATCAAGAGAGTGAAGAGGCTAAAGAGTTACTCATGAAAGAATGTGAGAAAGAAAAAGAGAATGCTGAAAAGGTGTCTGTTGTACAAGAGGTCCCGGTCATTGATAATGAAATGGTCAACAAGCTTACAGCTGAAAATGAGCAGCTCAAGGTAAGGTTGTTTGTTTTTCTTGTATGTTTTATATCCCTGGTAGAGAGATGCTGGCTTGCTAAGCTCCATTTTACAAACTTGAAAAGATACCTTCAAGCCGTATCTACTACTGATTCTAACTATTGTTTCTCCTTTCCACTCCTTGTGGTTTCCAAATTCTCATGCTTCATTATGGATATCATTTCTTATAGGCTTCCGCAGAAGCCAAAACCCAGGAAAATGCAAAACTACAATCTTCTTTGGAAGAAACACAGCATCAGCTCCAGGAGACTAAAGCTTTGCTTTTGACGGAACGTGAGACCAGAAACCGGACTGCTGACGAAATGCCTGTGGTACAAGAGGTCAAGGTTACTGATCATGAAAAGCTCAATGAGCCTACTGCTCAAAACGAGTTGCTTAAGGTAAGTTTGTGTGCTTTTTTTTTTTTTTTTTTTTTTTAAATAATAATTTCATTTATTCCTTGATAGAGATGCTAGGTTGCTAAGCTCCATTCTGCAGGCCTGAAGAGATATCTAAAAGACATAATATTCTTTGCTGCTATTTCAACATTCCACCTCTCACAACTTTTACATTCCCATGCATAATTATGGATACTTCTTATAGGTTGACCAGGACGATGCCAAAACCCAGGAAAATGTAAAACTACACGCTACTTTGCGTCAGCTCCAACAGGCTACCGAGCTACTCTTGAAGAGGGCACGTGAGCCTGAGAAGAATGCTGACCAGGTTTCTGCTGTAAACGAGACAGGTGATCAGATGCCTGTTCTACAAGACGGCAAAGTTGATCATGAAATTGTCAGTAAGCTTACTGCTGAAAACCTTCAGCTTAAGGTATGTTCCGAGTTTCTCAAATATGGTTTGCCATTGATATTCTGGCTTGCTAAGCTCCACTGTATAGTTGTACAAATTTGAAAATTTATCTAGAAGGCATATAAATCTATGTTGCTTCTATGTTTTTTGTTTTGTTCTGTCTCGTCCTCTCTTTCTGGCTTCTATGCATGGTCTAGATTGGCTTGTTCAGTCCTTTGACTATATCAATAATATGCTGGGTTTGATGTACTGATTCTATTGAAGGCCTTAGTTAGCGAGCTGGAGAAAAAAAATGAGGAAGCCAACAAACTTATTGAAGAGCAGTTGAAGCAAATCGTTGAAGCTGAGTCAAAAATTATTGAGGAAAAGACTGAAAAGCAAAGGTTGGAGAAATGAACTTCTCTCATTATGCATCCAAGATATACATATCAACCTAATTTCAAGCAACATTTTTATTTTTTGCATCTGATTTATTCATTAAAGTTTCATATTTATCATTTGAGATTGGTAGAACCTTAACGACATATTTTTTGTTCTTTTGTTGCATTTTTTGTTCTTCTGTTTGTGTCTTTTGACAGGCTTAAGGAGAAAGTATCTGATTTGGAAACTGAAGAACATATTATTCGACAACAAGCATTGTTGAATTCACAATCTAATAGAAGAATGTCAGGACGTTTTTCTGTAGCCACTCAGGTCATGACGCCACAAAAAATGTATTTCATGTTTTTGGACTTTTTGTTGGTTTTTCTTACTGATCTTTTATTTTCTATTGCAGTCTTCAGAGAATGGCCATCAGGTAACTAAACGGCGTGCTACCACTATCCCATGATTTTGCATAATAGTTGCATTGTCCCCATGGATGATTAATGTGTGAGGATGGTTTATACAGGATCCACAAGCAACATCAAAAACATTTGCCTCCTTATCATTAAGAAGATCCCAAATTGAGAGGCAACGAGTAAGATCTCAATAAAACATGAATGGTCTTCAATAAGTTGGCAAATATATTCACTAAACCCCTTAGGATATACACACTTCAGCTTTAGGGGAAGTTGGATGGTAACCGTCCAACCATCCTGTTGAATGTTCTCACTTAACCTGGATTTAGCCAAGGAGTCTTTCTTTGTGTGTGTATAGAAAAGACTTTGGTTCCACTGCTTCCCGTGCCTCTTTGCCAATAAAGGAAATTTAGGAGGGGGAGTGGGGAGGGGGCTTTCATTTCATTACACTTTTTTCCTTTTTATTATAATCAATTGATATGACCCAAATACTTCCACCCTTTCCATTTTGTAAAGGAGATATGGTTGGCAGTGGCATTGAAGAGTCTCTCACTCTCTGTAATGGATTTAGTGCAAAGTTGAGGCTAACTGATTTCATCATTTTATATTATATTTTCTGTAGGAAAGTGTGGATATTCTTATCAAATACACCCACGAAGATCTCGGATTTAGCGAAGGAAAACCAGTTGCAGCATTTACTATATACAGATGCCTTATTCAATGGAAATCCTTTGAAGCAGAAAGAACTAATGTATTTGATCGTCTTATTCAGATTATTGGTTCTGCTATAGAGGTAATTGTTCATATCTAAATTAATAATTTACCCTCATTAAAATATGATGTATGCTTGTGACTTCTATGATTTGATCTGTTAAAAATTGAGGTGTGCGTGGCATTAGGTCTATATTATTGCATATTCTTTATGCATGCCTATCTCATCATTTTGCTATTTCCTTTTCTTCTCACTGAAGTGGACCTTATTAATAGTGTTTGTACATTTTCTTTCCTTTAGATAGAAGAAAGTAATTTTGTTAATGGACAAGCCTTTTGCAGGAAAGGGGGTATAATGGATTATAGAATGATGAAGTAAAACCCACCTACCCGTTTGCAATATCAACTAACAACCATCTTTAGCATAGCTCATTTAGTGCCCTAAGCTTCTTATAAATCTTGAGCTTTCTGTGTAAGTAGGACCAATCCTTGTTCTCAACTCTAACTCTTCTATTTAAGATGCTTTTTTCCTTTTTTTTTCTCTCTCTCTATAATATCATTAACAGGACGAGGCGAACAACAATCAAATGACTTATTGGCTGTCAAACACATCTACATTACTGTTTCTGCTTCAACATACACTAAGAGCTACTACAGTTTCAACTCCACATAAACCCCCCCAACCAACATCTTTTTTTGGAAGGATGTTCAGCAGGTCATCTTTTTCTTCAAGCAGCCTCCCAGTTGGTGGACTTGATGCAATACGCCAGGTAGAAGCAAAGTATCCTGCTTTGCTTTTCAAACAACAGCTCACTGCCTATATGGAGAAGATTTATGGAATCATTAGAGATAACTTCAAAAAGGAACTGTCATCGGCACTTTCTTCATGTATCCAGGTGACAATTCCCCATATAAAGTTTCCTTTTATATTATTTTACATGCATTCTGTACTAACTCCCTTTTCTGTTGCTCTTCTTTAATGAAGTGCATCATAAATACAATAATATTTATAATTTAATTACCTAAAACACCCTTTAAAAACCTACTACATTTATTATGAGGAAACAAATACAGTGCATTTATTATGGGAAAAATGGAAATATATCAATTAGTCAATACATTAAATATACTTTCCTAAATCTATGTGTCCGGTCAAATGGGACACTATTTTGGATGGAGCAAGTAATATATTTCCAACAAAAAGAATCTGCAGGACTAGGTCAATTGATACTCGATTGCCTTCAGTTTAATTTTGAATCCACCTCTCTAAATACTATGGGAGAATGTAGTGGTGTGTAGCTTTATGGTTGTATGCTTTTAAAATTGTTTAACTATTATGTAAACAGGTTTCCTTTTTCAGTTTTGGAATGCTTTGCATGACCTCTGTCTCTGTGTTCTACTTTTCAGATGTCTAATTTCTTTCCACTTATCATATTTAGGCTCCTACAGAATCAGGCGGAGAAAATCCCTGGAAAAGCATTACTGAGAATCTTAATAGAGTTCTCAATACAATGAATGAAAATTATGTATGAAAACATTCCTACTGTTGTATTCCATGATCTTCTGATGTCATATAAACAAAAATATAATGTTATAAATGATGTTTCAGGTACCTGCATTTCTTGTCCAGAATATGATGGTCCAAATTTTCTCTTATCTCAATGTACAATTATTTAACAGGTATGTTTTCCTATAACCCAGCAGAAATTTGATCCTAGAGCAAATACTGCACTTCCTGCAATTTAACATTGTTAATGTACTGCTCCAGCATCCTTCAACAAAAAGAACGCTGTACTTTCAGCACTGGGGAATATATAAAAGCTGGGTTAGATGAATTAGAACTTTGGTGTGGAAATGCACAGGAAGAGGTACTATTCCAATGAATAAGTAGATTGGTATATTTGAGTGCTTAGGTCATATCTTTAAACTTTAGCTCAATATCTTTGCTCTATGCTTTTACTGGTATGGCTTTATTAAACAATTTGATGCTTTAGTAATGTTGACAATTATTTGTTACAGATTGTAGGTTCCTGTTGGGATGAAATGAGACACATAAAGGAGACTGCTGGGTTCTTGGTATGTTTCCTTTCCATCTTTTTAGGGCAAAGTAGATTTTTGGTTTGTGAATGTGAGTAATGTATTCAGTATTTTTGTAGCTGTTCTGATTCATACTTCTAAAGTTCTAATACTTCCGTACTTATCTTCAATTTTATTTTTCACTCTTAAGTGATTACACCTCAAAAAGCTAGAACTGAGTTACAATTTTATTTGGCAGGTTATGAATGATAAGGCGAAAGTTACCTATGATGATCTTATAACTGACTTGTGCCCAGTAAGATTTTTTTTAAAAAAAATCTATTTGCATGTGATTTTTCCCCTATATTGTGAATCTGTGCTGGTGCCAGGTGTGGCAGAGCTGAATGTATCTGTCCTGAGATGGGAAGCTTAAGACATTACAGAAATAGAAATACAGAGTAGAATTTGCCAGGATATTATAGAAAATAGAAATTATGAGCTTAGATGTGCCTAATTAGTTTGATTTGGACAGGTTCATTATGTTGAAGTAAGATGTGGATGCAGCAAAAACCAGTTTCTGACAAATACTGCATTGATTAGGAAATTAGTTAAAACAGAAATTATTAAAAGTTAAGGAACTACGGTGCAACAAAATGCAATAACTTGTCCAATCAGCAAAAGAATTATATTTAATGATTGTTTTCAACCTAAAAATACAACCCTACAAGGAATGGAAACATAAAAATTATCAAATTCCTTCTATTACAGAACTATTCACACACAAGATTTTTATCCAACTTCTAGACAAAGAACTGCAAAACTCAAATATAGAAACAAAACGATAGTGCCCAAGGTGCATTAAGAGTAATGAAAATTCTATCCAAAATGTTTCTGCCTTTAGGCATGCCTAGCATATCCAGTAAGTGTAGGATATGCTGCTACAAATGGGTGCAGTTCCCTATAAAACTGTGTCCTAGCATATCCAACATATATTTGGGCTTCAGATTCAATGGTACGCTTTAGAGCCAATAAAGTCAAGCAAGGACACCATTTGAAAAAAATTGAATACATACTGCTGGTGTCATCTTTACTTGTGTAGTAGCAGTACATGAAATTGTGAATCTTGAAAATTCTCTCATTAATATCTCGTGTTTCCAGATTCTGAGTAGTCAACAGCTGTACAGATTGTGTACACTATGCTCAGGTGAAAATGACAATACTGGAAGTGTATCTGAAGATGTGAGCTGTTCTCCCTTCTATTTCTCTTTTGCTTTCCCTCTACTGGTGCAAGAGGGGTGAATGGGGGATAACCCCCTTACCTAAATCCATTTTTTCATTGCATTTGCTCATTGTTGCTCCCTTGAACTACCTGTCGTTTTTAGGTAATTTCCAGCATCAAGATTCTAATATCAAAGGAGGAGTCAGATGATGTTGAGAACGCGTTCATGTTGGAGGACAATCCAAGGTAATTACAATAGGAAGTTGTTCCTGAAAATGGAAATCATGTTTGAATGATTCTTCGATTCACCCACCAATTTACATGTTTCTTTTAACTGCAGTATCCCCTTCTCAGTTGAGGAGCTTAGCCATTCCCTTAGAGATATGAATTTTACTGGTGTAAAACCTGCTGCAAAAGTCGCCGAACAGAAAGGCTTTGAATTTTTACGTGAATAAGGCTGTGGTTTCCTCAGCTTGTCCCTAAGTTTCTTGCAGATTAGGATGATTTTCATGAAGATTTCTTCTTCAGTAAATGTCACTGTGTAAATCCACACCTGAGCTTCTCACTGCAACGGCCCTTGTTATAAAGTTGCTCCAAATTCATTATAGAGTTTTAGGTTTAGTTAGATGCAGGGAACAGGCTGAATGGTTGCCACTCAATATCTTCTGTTCTATTTATGTCCTTAGATGAAGCCTGCCTTTAGCCAGACAGATTATTTGTAAAGAAGTAGAAGTTTTGGGAGGGGGAGGGGGAGCCATACTTAGTACTTACTGCTCCCTCAATTCTTTTTGTACAAAAGGAAACAGCACTCAATAATAATTTTTAAAAAGCCTCAATAAATTTCTTCCTTTTATTTTTAATTTTCTTTTACTTTACTTCCTCATTCTGTAAACCTCATTAAACTTAATACACTTACAATAATCTAGCACAATCCCCACTTGTTCAAGCTCAAATATCAAGTTTTGGCATATAATCTTTATTTAGTACACAAGAAATCATGTAAGTTCGGGTGTATAACCCTTACGGAGGTAGACTGTCTATCTAACTGATTGGGAGTGTTTGTATATGTTATAAAGAAATTGTGTGTTATTAATCATAATTGGTACCCAGTAAAATATATTACTTACATTCATATAAATATATGATTAACAATATTTTCTCTCTTGTGAGCCATATATGGCCTTCTCTTGTTCATCTCCAATGGTTGAAAGAATGAATACAAAATAGGACCCTATAAAAAGTAATACAATAGTCATTAGAGGACAGAAATGAAGGTTATTGCTTGCAAGGTTGAAGCCTTTAACCATAAAAGATATGCAAGATTTTATGCCCTTCAACTAAGTGTGCATTTGGAAGAATGGTGGAATTGAAGCAGTTAAAGTGATGGTGGGTCACTTCCATCATACTTTTACCTCTCCAGTTGAAAATTCTGTGATGGGAGCAACTCCAATCAAGTTGGTTATATTGTTGACTTGGTAATTATAAGGTCACAAGTTTGACTCCCAACAACGAGAGCAGCCTATTGACATTGGCCTTCTTGATTTGAGCCGGTCAGCTACTAGGCTGGTTTACCTCATTTTGGTCCTTTACCAGATTAATCTTTTAGTCAAGACGAAATACATCTTTCAATTCCTCATGCAAGAGGTCATGCATTCAAATACATCTATAATAAACGTGCAGTCCAAATCCCAAAAAAAAAAGACTATATATTCTAAAATTACAGCAGAATTTGCAAAGCTTTTCTTGTCCAAACTGAATCCAAAACCTTGCAAGGCCCCATTGAAATGGATCAATGGGCAAAAGTGGGATTTGTGAATTGTGACCACATTTCCTCAAATATATTCAAGAATGACAAGGGACTCAGCAATTGGGCTGCCAGCATGGTCAAACACATGAACCTTTTTGTGGACTGGGTTGTATAGCAACACCTTGTGGCTCTTGTTGGGAATGTCTACTTCAATGTATTCATATTCCATTCCCTTTAGCTTTAGATCCCATACTTCTGCCATTGATATTGATGATGATGAACTGACAAAAATGTGTAGTGTTTTAATAGAGGGGAAGTTGCCATAATCTGGGAGTGTGGTTGAGTAGAAGTGATTCATCCCGGGATCGAACATTTGTTCTTTGGTATGAAGTAAGAGATTAGTCATTGTGTCTAATGGTGAAAATCCTGGGTTAACTCTCTCCTTTCACATTCATTCAAGAGTGTAGTTTTAATCATGAGTTGTATTTAATACAGTTTGCCCCAACTTATTAGATCTCATCACACTTTGTGATCTAGCCATGATTATACAATGTGTCAATTTACCAACCAATATCAATATTCATAGATTTGTTCAGTTCTTTATAAAAAGCAAAGGGTGATAAAGTGACAACAAATAGGTAAGGACAATTCTGCTGTTCAATGATTACCAGATCAAACAATGGTCACCAAGTAAAAGTGATTTCCCATGTGGAGAAAAGCAAACTAAATCATGTTGAAAAGAAGATATAATCCAGTATGTATCAATGTTATGCATTAAAGAAAGCCTTTAAGGTACATTATTACACCGAGAAAAGCGCAGGGCGCAACCAAGTGCAGTGAAGACTGCAATAATCGGAAAAAAAAAAAAAAAAAAAAAAATGCTTTCACTGCTATAACCAACAGTGCATCTGTAGACCTTACCAGACATCAGGTCGAAGCTCCCCGGTTGCTGGGGGCATCCATCTTCCAGAGTTGTACACACTCTCGCCAACTTTCCAGCCAGGCACATCTTTCATAATTCTAGCCTCTTCCTCTAGATACTTCCTCCATTCTTTGACAAATCTATAAAAAGCAAGCAGCTTTGAGAAAAGAAGAAAAATGTAACCTTGTAAGGCTAGAGGGTAACGAAAAGTACAAGTTGCTAACCTTTCATCCTCTTCAGCTTGTAGCATAGGCAAGATAGCCCTACGAGCAGCATATTTTTCTTCCTTTATTACCCTGCAGAATGTCAAAATCATGGTATACTCTATCAGATATATATACCCAGCTTCTCATCTTTGAGGATTAAGGATATATGTGATGAGAAAATAGTTACTGTACATCCTAGAATATTCCTACTTTCTATGAACTCTAATGGCCATTAGAGTTCTGTAAAGGCCACACGTTGTTATCTTTAGTAATGGCCATTTAGTCCTATCTCTCAAACAATTGCTGCCTCTGTCCTTTATTGACAATTTCATATCCAAATGCAAAACACACACTCCATATTTCATTTCATCTATTTTTGGACCTTATGGCAAGAAGGCATTTCTGTTGTCACCATTATCCTTTATTGCAAGCTAACAATTTCATATTTAACAGTAAACTCAATATCACACTCAAATTTCATCTATTCTTTGACATTAACATCAAGGTGGCACTGCTATTGCCACATCAATTGTTTTTATTTCAAACCATCATCATTGTCAGAATCAGAATTTAAAAGCATGAACAAATTTGAACTCGGAATACCATTGATATATTCCAGTCTATCTTTCAATTCATTTAACACTAAACCAACATAACCCTAAAACTCAAATCCTCATAAATTCATTAATTACCAATTAATAACAGAGAATTTCAATTAAAAATTATAGCTTTTCACCTCATATTATCCTAATAATAACTAACAAAGGTGCATATAATCTCGGTGTCTCTAGAGTTCGGCTTAAGATTCAGTGTAATTTATGCGCAGTAATTGACTACGATATTCAATAAATATCCTCGGAATTGTAATCAAATCAAAGATCCAATTTTTTAAATGCAAACACATAGAGATACAAGGGAAAATATTTGAGTAGGGCTAGGGCACCTGCGTTTCTTATTGCCCTGGCCCACCTGATACATGCCCCAAGAGAAGACGCCCAAAGCGGTGAGGAAAATGGCCATGGCGCTAGGGCCGGTGTTGGGGATCCGGCGGGCGAAACGGACCGGAGCGAAACCTCCAGGCGGCGGACCATCCTGAAGAAGCGGCATGTCCTTCACGCTGGCCATGCCAGGCTTCTTCCTTATCATTGCCTCCGTCATATTTGCTAGGGTTTCTCAATGCCGGAGCTCAGCTTAGCAACAGAGGAGAAATGGATTAAACAAGTAGCCAAGGAGTTCGGACTTCAGAATTCAGATGAAACTAAACTGGAAATCGGAAAAGAAGGAAGATGACCCGAATCGATTAAACAGGGAATTGAATAGGAATAAAATGGTTAAAGTAACTATGAAGTCCCTGTACTATAATGTTTTGTTTAATTTAGTCCTTGTATCTTTATTTTGTTCAATTTAGTCCCTCTACTTTAAAAAGTGGTAAAACTAAGAACAATTGTCTAAATCTCATTACGAACATGGTCGTAATTATTTATTTTGGACATACTAATTTAATATATTGGTGGTAAAAATGATAGATTTTAAATATTTATAAAGTAATATATGAGTAGGAATATAAATATCATCAGTGCCACGTAACCTAAGTTAACGATAATATTAACATCGTTGACTATTGTCCTTAATTGCACTAATTTTGAAAGTATAGGGACTAAATTGAACAAAATAAAAGTATAAAGACTAAATTGAACAAAACGCTATAGTACAGGGACCTCGTAGGTACTTTAACCGAATAAGATCTAAATTGAACCCTGATAGGTCATTAAATAAATAAAAAAAAGTACAATTCAGTCTGAACACTTCAAATGTGAATTTTTTGCGGTTTTGGTCCCACGACAATAGTGTCAATAACAATTTTGATCTATGACTTTTAAAATTTGCAGAATTAGTCCACGACTATTACTTTCTTAGTAAAAATAGTCCTTCCGACGAACTCTCCGTCAATTGTTCGCCAAATTTTTTTTTTCTTCTTTTTTTCACAAGAGTATAATGGTCTTTTTATTTACCTAAACTAATGACCAAAATAATAATAATAATAATAATAATAATAATAATAAACTTAATCTGCTCAGATTACGCGCACACAATACACTTTCACCCTCATTCTGAGCAGATTAAGTTTATTATTATTATTATTATTATTTAGGTCATTAGCTTAGGTAAATGAAAAGACCATTATACCCTTGTGAAAAAAAGATATAAAAAAAAATCGGCGAACAATTGACGGAGAGTTTGCCGAAGACTATTTTTGCTAAGGAAGTAATAGTCGTGGACCAATTCTACAAGTTTTAAAAGTCGTGGATCAAAGTTGTTAGTGACACTATAGTCGTGGGACCAAAACTGCAAAAAACTCCTCCAAATGTATGCAATTGCACCTGATAACAAGTTACTAACAATTTTAACCGGTTAACTGCTTACGTGGAATGTGAGTTTAAATAATTTTTAATAAAAAACTTTAAAATTAAAATTAAATTAAACTTTAAAAAATAAAAATAATAATAATAATAAGGCGACCACCCCTTCCCCCTCCTCCTTCGTCTCCGGCGAAGACAAAGGAGGCGGGGGGGGAGGGGGGAGGGGATGTAGTAAGACGAAGGACATTTCTCACGCCACCCCCGTTCCTTCGTCTCCGCCGAAGATGAAGGAGTTGTCTTCGCTTCCAATCGGAGACGAAGAGATCAGTCTTCGTCTCCAGTTGGAGACAAAGGAGGAGGGGGTGGCCGGCGGCCACCCCGATGTTGTTTTTAAAAAAATAAAAAGAAATTAATATACCATTATTATGGGCCATTTGGCATTCAATGTGGATCATGGTCCATGGTCTAATGATTACATGTCACATTTAGAGTTAACAATTTTTTACACAACATGAAATTATATATGAATATAACGGTTCAAGTTTAATTTGATTGTGTCTCAAGTTGTTAATGGATTGATACGATAATGACACAGTACTTAGTTTCAATTCTTAACAAGTTAATCTATTAAAATAATATATATAAGCATGTTTAACATGCTAGAATTATTGTATTTATATGATTATACGAACCTATTACCCGATATATCAACAATACACACTTACTATTTTAGTATTTTTATTTAGAATAATACTTACAACAACAACAACAACAACAACAACGCCAAGCACCTTGTGCTCATATGTCACTTCTGTGGCTCTCCTTGAAGGTCACAGGATCGAAAATCATAATAACTACTCCCCACCTCATATTGTGGCTAGGATTGGGAGTAGAGACTAGGGAAGAACAGTAGGTCAAGATGGCCATCAAACCACAACCATACACGTTCCTCTGTCAGTTATCACGTTCCGCCGAAAGATTACTAAGTGCTAACTGCCCATGCCCTAAACCAACCAATAGGCCAAACGGCTAAACTTCCCATGAACCAATAACGCAAATACCAAAAATCAACCTCTCTACCCGGGTGAGTGTGCTCCACCAATCGAACTATGGTGGCATGTTGGACCAAGGTGAAAGGTTGGACTGGGCAAGGGCCAGATTGGCTCCCTATCCAAAAGACCCTTTTGGAAAGACATTGATGCACTTAAACAACACATCAAGAATTTCTTGCGCCCATCAACTCCATTTTTCTTCAACACTCTGTATAAGTCTTACAAAGATGACGTAGATTTTGTCTGCGGTTATCCTTAAAGCATGTAGGAGGGCGTTCCAACCATTGTATGTGCCTTACAAGGAGGTTGCCTTCTTCAAATGAGGAAGAAGACCGCGATCGTCACCTTATTCTGTAGAAGGCAACGCTAGTCGCCTTCTTTCAGTGAAGAGGCAACTAGCGACATTCACCAATTTTTTCATTGGAACCTTAATTACTGGAGGGTAACTGGTTAATGTACGTGGATGCAACAAAATGACAAGTTAGAGTGTTCTATTGCAACTTTTGAAAATTCAAGGGTTTAATTGATGAGACTTATTTAACCTTTTTCTCAAAAGAAAATTGATGGGAATCATATAGACTTTTGAACTTTCTATGTACATTTTCAAACTAGCATATAATCAAACTATTTTAGTAAATTACTTATTAAAAAAATAGTAATGTGTCATCTATAATACTCTTAAGGCTGACATGACATTTATGTATCAAATTTATCTAGATAAGTAATAAGTCTTCGCCAATTATCTTTCCCTTCTTGATCTCGATATCAGACAAAGAGGAAACTTCTCGTCCCTTCGTCTCTAATCTAGAGATGAAGAGTGGAGATAACGAAGGCAACTTCATCTCCAATTTGGAGATGGGAAGCATAAAAGGTCTTTTCGTCTCCAGTTATTAGAGACAAAGAAAGTGAGAAAAGTCCCTTTGTCTTCGAACATTGAAGATGAAAAAAAATTATTTATCCTTAATGAAGAGTAAAGATCAACTACTTGTAATCACCTTCATTTTTATTTATTTATTTATTTTTATTTTACAAATTTAAAAGGATGTCATAGCTTAATGGTATTTCACGAGACATTAAATTAAAACTTATGAGTTTTGATTAAGAAATTACTTCCTAAAACTACTTATTGAATTTTTTTTGGACTTTGAGTGTCACATTAGTGCCATGAGACAACCTTCTTAGACTTGCTCATTAAGATTTCCTTACCATGTACATGAAAAGATTGCTTAGTTGTGAGAATTTAAACAAGGTTAGGTGGAATAGAGTTCAAATATATTTTAGTTGAATTTTTTTCTAAATGAAATGACGGGTATGATTTAATTCCTATAGACAAATGCTGGCTGGCAATTTGTTCATCAATCATATATTTTAGTAAACTTCTCAATTATTTATCTAGAGCTTTTAATCCTCAAATTGATAAGCTAGCCAATAAATATTCCTTCCAAAATTCACCAAATCCATTAATGTCCCCTCCACACTTCACTTCCTTCTTACATTTCATACTGAGTCACTCTAAAGGACACAACTAAACCCAATCATACCATACCTAATTACTTGTATATCATTTGAAGTTCTATTCGACACAGACAAGATTAGTCTTTGTGAGATTATGTGGTCTGATAATTAAAAAAAAAAAATGCTTTTGTTTGAATATGATTTATTTTTATTATTTTTCATTGATGTTGGACATACATTGAGAATTTCATTCATTTACTTTTTTTTTTTTTAAGTACTACTAATTCTGTATCTGTCATTCATTTACTTATTCATGAGTAAATAAATACCCATCAGCAAGTTCGGACAAAAAACTTGTTATTATGTAATATATGAAAATTAAATAAAATGCTCAAATTTTATAATATGAACCATAGTCGACAATATAATTTGTCGAAATTAATGCTCCAACTCTATGGATCAATTCAAGAGCCATACCATCTCCAATTTGGGACAAGATTTTTCTTTTCGGATTATAGAAAACTCACAATCACTTTTCAAGAGTATTTAGGACAAGATTTTGTTAAATAAATATAATGTTTAACAAAAATAAAGCTACATATATGAGTATTTAATTGTTTGCAGCTTATGTACGTAATGCAATCATGATTGTGTCATGTGTGTGGTTAAGAATAAACGTATGAGGGCATCTTCAATAGTGATAGGATTTTGAGGAGATTTTACAAGTGTGATTAAGAAAAAGAAATTGGTAAAAAGGAAAAAAATAAATAAATAACAAAATAAAAAATTGAAACCAACCCCCACCCCCCCCCCCCCCCCCAAACCCCCTAAAATCCTCAAAACCTGACAAAATCCCCCAAATAACATAAGAACCCTAACCCTCTTTCTCCTCTCTCCTCTCTCCTCTCTCTTCTTATTGGGGATAGCCTGAGCATGTTTATTGATTATCACTCTTGCAAAAATTGGTCTAGGCACTCGCCTAGGCCCTATCGTGGCAATTTTCCTCCTAGACGTCCGCCTAAGCGATCGGCGTCCTAGACGCCCGTCTAGCGCCTAACATGGCTGACTCAGCCGCCTAGCGCCTAACTCGGTCGAGTTAACTCGTCAATTTTAGTCGGGTTAGCCGAGTTAACCCGGTCGGCCCGTCCTTACTAAATTTTATTATTATTATTATTATTATTATTATTATTATTATTATTATTATTATACACACACACACACACACACACACACACACACACACACACACACGTGCACTATTTTCTTATTTTAGTTAGCCGCATAGGCGCCCACCTAGACCGTCTAGGCGCTACTCTACCGTCCGACTAACGCCTTGCGCCTACTGCAACCATCTTGATTATATAATTATATATTTCAATGATCTTGTGGTCTAGTGGTATGAAATGACTCTCATAAATAGGAGGTCATGTGTTTGATCTCCTACTATATT